TAATTTTAAAAAAAGGGTTGATTTGTGTTTTAAAATTCCCCAAAAAACTAAATTTTTAAAAATTTTAGATTATTAAATAAAAATCCAAAAATGGAAAAATTCCCCGACAATAATTTTTTAGTCCCTTTTCCAAAAAAAACAAAAACTAAACCCCAAATTAAACAAACAACTGTCCAAAAGTGACCCTCACAAGGGATTTTTTTTTTATCATTCGCTGTATGCCACAAAAGCTTGTTTTTCATGGGGGTTAGGGTTTAAAAAATAAAGTTTATGTTCTTGTGTTGTAAAACGCTAGGTTTTCAGACAAAATGTAAATGCGCAGAAACATGTAAAAGAAAACGAAAAAATTGGAAAAAACCCAGGTCCGTACTTTTTGATTTTTTTTCTTTATATTGAAAATGGAAACCAAATGTTAACATTTTGTGCATTTCCATTCATTGGAAATAACTCGTAGTAATACATTCATAATCCGAAAATTATGTTTGAAATTGTTATCTTTATTTAAATAAATAAATACATTTTTCAGAAGCTTACCGCTTGGATAATAGGTTTAATATATACAATTTATTCTCTTAATACAAGTTATATGGTAATTTATGACAAAAAGTGCAAAATTTGCCTTAAATTGACAATAATTTAACTATTGTTTTTAGAATTTAATATTTCAAAGGGATGTTTTTTAAAATGATACTTATCGTTGTTTTTTAAAAAAGGTTATTATGTGCTGAAACAAAAAGAAATGAAAAATTTTATGCTGCCAATTTTTGGACGGCCGTTAAGGGCTTTTAAAAAATCTGGACAGGGTTTTAAAAAAAGGGTTTAAAAATTGTATAAATATTACTGAATTTAGATTAAAAAACCCGGGTTTTGTCAAAATAGAAAGATGTAGCAGGGGTTTCCCCGTTTCTAAAATTTAATTTTTTTAAAGAAAAATGATGATGACTTTGAGAAACAGACTACCAAAAGGTTTTCCAAATTTTAAATTTTTCAGACATTGAAAGGAAAAAACCCGTGTTAACCCAAAGAAAATCGTTTTTTTGTTTTCCAAAAGGGGTTTTAAATTTCTATCTTTAAAGGGTTTACAATTTTTGTTCGTTAAAAAGGTTTCCTAACAAAAAAAAAGTAAAATTTTATGGGAAAAAATTTGGGAAAAGACATTTTGTTTTTGGGTTTCTTTTTAAAAAAATGAATCTTTCTTTGATACTCTAAAACGATTGTATGCTACATATTTAATCAACGAATCTAAAAAACACTTACCGGCATATTTATTTAGCAAATTTACAAGCATGTATCATTTTACATCACAATATATATGGATTGAAAATCAAGCGTAACACTTATATGAATTCCTTTCTATAAACCTATTAAATGCCTGTGCAAATTAATGCTGAGGTAGTGCGGATGCAAAAAGAGCAGAGCATACATGCAAAATCAGATACGATGTGAATTCATGTATCTCGCTGGTTTTTTTATATATTCTTTATTTATTTATTTTTTTTGTTTGCTTTATTTTTCATTTTGTTTTGCTTTTTCTTTGGTTACCATTGGAAATCTCGCTGCTACTTTTGTTCCCGTGATTAAAAAAGAGCAATTAAGTTTATAATTATTAGTGGTTACATGTATTTATATTTTTATTTTCCTTTGAAATAATCAAAAACTAGAAAGGGGCCCCACATTCCCTCCCTTGGGTAAATTTAAAAAAACTGTATCGTTTTAAAATTATTTAAAAAATTTTATAATTTGTAGTTTCATAAAAAAACAAGTAATCCAAACCCGAAAATAAAAAAAAATTTTTTTAAGTTTTAAATTTTCCAAAAACTTAAAAAATGTTAATAAAAGCGAAATTTTTTCAGTTTAAAAGAACAGTTTTTTGTCTTACAAAAAAACCTTCGTCTGCTTTTAATACCAAAACTGAAAAATGAAAAAAAACCCGCTTAAAACCAAATTAAAAGAGAAAAACAACCGAATTTTAAAAAGTTTAAAAAAGTAAAGGGTTTTAAAAAAATAAAAATTATTTTGGGATATTGGAACTGGGCACTAAAATTTTCAGAAATATTTTTTTTTTGGGAAACTGATTTAAAAAATTCCCCAAAATCCTAAAAATGAAAAGAGATCCTACTTGTAATTTTCTAATAAACTAAATGGGTATTAGAAAATGCATGTTTAAACCTATTAAATCACAGCGGGGATCTTTTATTAATGTTCTCTTATATCATTTGTGTTTATAAAAATAGCAGAGGGAACTATTTTTGTGTTAAACTCATTTCAGATATGATTAAAAGAATATGAAAACCAATTGATTGTATTTGTTCTTTATATTTTTCAATTTACAAAATTTGTCACAGTTTTTTTTCATATCCTTTAAGTAGCAGTTATGTGTCGTAAAATATAGCAAAATAGTAATTCACTATGACTATACAATTGCTTAGAGAGAAAAAGAAGCAAATTAAGATTGTGCATCTATATGGCAAATGGGTATTTTTTGGAAACTGTAACAAGAAATTAAAAAAGAAAGTTTTTGAGAAATAAAAATGATAGCATTTCTGAGGCATAATGGGCCTGTTATGAGCTGGGAAACATTTTTATGAAAAATAATTTTTATGCCCTTTTTTTCCTTTGGTTATTTAAAAAGATAAAGCTGGTTACATGCTTAAAAAACTACTTGTACAGACCAATTTTCAAAAATTTTTAAAATTTTTTTTTTAAAGCACATTTTTAATTTTTTTTTTACCCGTCCCAAAAAGCCGTTGAAAACCCCTACTTCCCTGGAAAAGGAAAAAAAAAACAAATAAATAGTTCACAAAGAAAAATTTTCGTGTAAAAAACACCAAAACTCAAAAAAAACCAAAAATGCAGCTGAAAAGAGTCGAAAAGTCAATGGCTTATTAAAAAAAGAAAGGTTTTTCCAAAAATTACTATCCGGAGTAAAAAAGTTGTCGTTAAAAGCCCTATATTTCTCAGAAACGAATAGATTTTTTTAATCCTTGGAATGCAAACATGAGCTTTATACCGTTTAAATAATGGTTTTAGAGCATTTATGGTGCTTAATTGTTGCCTTAAGAGAAATGGTGCTTAATGTTATTTTTGTCATAAAATAAGCAAATCTGAACAGTAGTATTTTGACTACCATACAAAATATCAAACGACTATAATTGTTCTAATTGACAAAAGGATGGCTCAGGTAATTGGCTAATGAGTAACTTTTTTAAAACTATAAATGTACACAAAAAATATTTTGAGCAATACATAAATTAAAGTATGTTGGGCATAATCAGCCTATTACTATATCTCAATGCATGAAATTATGTTGTTGTTGTTGTTCTTTGCTTTGAACTGCTACCTTATATGACAGGGACTTTGGGGTTTTTCAAAGTGAAAGGGAAACTTTTCCACTAAAACTTACGGAAAAGTCGGTTGTTCAACTTTTAGGTGCCCGGTTTTGTGCCTGGAAAAAAATGCACAAAAGGGCACCTTTAGGTCTTTCCCCCAACCCGAAAAGTTTGGAACGGGCGCGATATGACCTATACTGTGTTTGATGTGAAGGGAAAAAAACCCCAAAACAAAAAAAAGGGTAAACCCTTTTATTTAGTAAAATTTAAAAAAAGGATATGTCCCCGTATCTTTTTTTAAATGAAAACAATATATATTAAGGAGAAAATGTTTTTAACGGAAAAGTGTATAAATCCCGAAGGATTTGACCATGCTTGTTAAAAATTTAGAATGCGTTAAAAATAGCAAAGCCCTTTTAAAAAACCCCGAAAAAATTTTAAAAATTGTTTTGGTTTAACTCCCGGAAATTGTTTTCAAAAAACCCTTTCCGTTAAATGTCAAAAAACAAAAGTGGAGGGAGTATTCCAAACTTTTAAAAAGGATAAAAGTTTGTAAAATAAACTTCTGGAAACCTGAACAAAGCAAATTTATATACAGGGGTCTTCTTGGTTTTTGGGAAAACATGGGGAAATGGGGTTTGAAAAAATTTATAAAAACTTAAAAGGGAGATACTTTAAAAAAATTTCTTTCGAAAAAAAAAAATTAACAAAAATTTTTGAAGAAAGGGGGAAAAGGAGGACGGGGCTAAAGCTGAAGTTATTGGGAATCCTGTTTGAGAAACATTTTTGGGATTTAGTAAAATATGGAAAAACGAAAAAAAAAAAAGAAATTTTAAAATTTCGAAATTTTCAGGTCCCGGAAAATTTTTATTTGTTCCGTGCTTCATGGTCTTTTTAATCGGTCATGTGGGCCCAAAGTATTTAACCCTTCAAAAAATAAGTTTAAAAAGTAATGAAAAAGAAAATACATATATATAATACATGTACATCTGTTTTTTTATATTGAAATTATTGGAGTGACAATTTTGACATCTAATGTATTTAAAACATAACATTTCGAGTTAATTTAAATAAATTGATAAATAATCTCTATTAAGCTTGCTTTTTATCTTAAGTATTATTTTCTTGATACAAAGCCTAGATCTGTAATCATCGCAATGCAGCATTTCTTGATAATAATAATATTACCTTAAATACTAAAAGAATTAATTAGCGTAAAATTTATGAGAAAAGAAATTAACAATGGAATAAATATTTACTTCAAACTATTCTAAGTGAAAATATCTGGAAAAACGTGATCAAAATAAAAAGATAAACAGGAAACATTAAAGAACTCTTTATGGCAAAAGTGAAAGTAACAGGTTAAAAATTTTGAGTGAATGTAATATCAATAAAGTGAAAAAATTAAAGGGTTTTTTAAGGAAACACCCTATTTGGGTTTAAAACAGTTTTTTTACATATAATAAAACAAAAAACAATTGTGATACAACAACATTATAAACGGGTTTAAAAAAGGAATCAAAGACTTGTGTGTTTTCTTTTCACCCTTTAGTTTTTTTTCTGCGATCTATTTTCAGGACAATGGCTCGAGGTTTTCCCTTCACTAAAAAGTTTGGAAAAAAACATCATATGGCCTTCAAAGAACCGGTTGAACTTTTAAACGAATCAACATGCCTTTACAAATGCTTTATATACAAATAAATGTGCATACACAATGTTATCAAATGATCTCTATTAATAATATAGATTATAATTATATAACACATGATGTCTTTCAATACGACAAGCTTGATATGTATTTTAACGGAAACAGGTGACATGGGGTGCGTTGTTGTTTGATATTGCAACTTTTATTGTTTAGATTCTTAAAAAATACATACTAAAAGTATACTTGTTCCTCAGAAATTGAGATATCATACATATGATCAAAACAAAAACTCTATTCTGGTAACTTTACAACGGTATCTAACACTGATAAATGAAAGATAATTCTTGCATCTACCAGGGAAACACTGGGCTGCATCGATGTGAATTGATCCATTATAGTAATTGTATACCACTCGTTGTAAACAACGTTTAGATGTACCGTGCCCGTTATTTTTTAGCCTTTTATTTCATATATATGAACTATATTTGAATAAAAGCGATGTTTTAATTTCACTAGTGTTATGACGTCTTTGTAAGTATATTTGTCTGTCACGCCTGTCTTTTCGAACAAATTCTAGCCGAAACCATTATTATAGACGCAGTGTCAAATGATGTTTGTTCTTTCGACAAGTGAGAGACATCGTTCTATTCTTTGACAGAGACATTCCTTTCCTTTTCTAAGGGTATGTCGGTTCTGTGATGCATCAGGCAGGTCGTCGTTATTTAAGGTCATGACTTTTGATATTTCGGCAGTATGAATTTCAATCATATTCAAAGCGTATTCCTGAAAATAGAAAAATATTTATTTAGAGTATAAGAGTTTAATAAATGCTTTAAATAAACATCGGATAAAAAATAGTTGAAACGTGTATTTTCCTTTAACTGAATCTAATACATGCTTAACATTATAAAATAACTGCATAAAAGAAAATCGCCCTCTGCATATAATAGTGTACTTTAAATTTCATACTGCAATTTACAAATACAGGGAATCTTCTCGCACAATAGACATAATACCAACCTTTGGGGTGATGTTTATGTCTGCAAGTAAATGGTGTCGGCGTTCTTGGATAAAGTATTCCAAATAGTCCTGTAAATAAAGCAAAGTGATTATAAATCAAAGCACTGAAAGTACTGTTGGAAGGAAATTTTCATAGAAATTCCCAATGCGTGTGAATTAAAAACAAAGGAATATGTGCTTCAATCAACAGCTTGCTGATTTGATGACGTAAAATGTGACGTCATTGTTTCCGTTTTTGCACTACTCATGTTCAGTGGGCTGATAACTAGTTCTTGGCCCAGGGCCTCAAACCCATAAGTTGTGACACTCATAATCAGTTGAAATCATAGGCAATTCTGTTACTAATATAGTAATAAGTGAATTAATAGATAATACTACTGCATTATGAACACAAAGAACCACTCAGTTTGACCTAAATCGGCCATGACTTATATAACTACTTCATAAGAATTCAAGACCATGCCATAAGCATTATTTAATCATAGTTAATGAAGAGACTTTTTATTTTAAACTCAAGGACAAGAAAAGCTCATCATGTGCTTACATTTGTAAGTTCAAACATAACTAATTGTGTTTTAGTATGAAATTGATGTACATGCTGTTAAAGTCATAGCAAAACAAAGAACAATGATTTTAAAATAAACTTTTATTGTCAAAACTTGCATAAAAGTAAAAATATATGTGATATAAAAAATAAATGATTAAATATATGGAGATAATGAAATTTAGTTTGTCAGATAAAATGTGTAAAAGGAACTCCACTGAGGTTTTTTGACATGATGAGACTGAAATTTATTTTTCTAGATTAATGTACCACTTGATGTATGTTTTGACCACTAATCTTTGAGAAAAATTTCAGATCATTTGCGCACTTCCTTTTTCAAGAATAATTATTCAAATTGTAAAAAATTGACCCAAAATGAAAGCATTTAAACACATTTCACGCAGATCAGGCTGAGAAAAGCATAAAAAATTGATTTTCAATTTATTTCAAAGTATATTTCTTCACTATGTGTGCATATATTTCTGTATCAAGTGCCCCGGCTCATTTCTGTAGAAATTCAAATGTTATGTTTTAGGCTTTTAAACCTCAATGGACTAAGTCCCTTTAAATTATTGGTACATATTGACGTGACACAAGTTATAATAATCTGAATGAAAGAAGCTTTAATGCAAACGGCCAGTAATATAGGAGGTGCTGTTTTAAGGATTTTTTACATACAAGACTTACATTATACAACAAAATATAGTCAAAAGTAGAAATGTGCCCATAGGACTTGAATGCCTGCGTTAAGAACAATGCTTATATTGAGTGGGTAATCAAAATATGTACATAATTAGACAAGCCCACTGGCAGCATCTATCAAGCCTGTTGCCATTATTCAGAACTGAACCTTAAAGCTTCAGATTGGGGAGAAAGATGTATACGTAAGTGAACATTTGTGATAAATGTTTTGTAAATCCAGCCATGTATATAGAAATATACTCTCATGTTTTAAGTTATTATTTGACTTTTGATCCAAAGTAGTGACCTTGATTTACAGACACCTGATTTTTCATACTACTCCAACTCACTAAAGACTGTTAAATTTTGTCCAGAACTATATGAAAAATCTTTATAGATTTCAAAAGCATTCAAATATTATCAGTTATAAATCAATTTTTTGCATATGATTTGGTAAGAAAGGCATAATGTTGTATAAATTTTTGTGGAATGTAACTGAAATCATAATTGACCTGTGTTTTGATATATTGTTGAATATACCAGTTATAAATTGAATCCTTAAAAGGTGTACAAATCTTATTGGTTGGAAACTGAAATTTCAGTGGAAATTTCACATACTGACCGGACTGACAGACAGGGTAACACTTAATGCCCTGTCACCATTCTTTAAATTGCATGGGCATATAAACATAGAACAGGTTAGCTTACAAGAGCATTTCTGTTTTCATATTTTACTAGGTAAAGTACAAAGAAATGATATTTTTATAATTTTATGAGCCATCACATCAAACTGTGATCAATGTAATATGAAGTATGGGAAAATAAGTAACAAGAAGTGCATGTTTAACTAAAACAGAATGTATGATTCAGAGGAACACTGTAAAAATAAAGTAAATAATGTTAAAAAAAAAAACAACAACAAAAAAACATAAAAAAAGTTGACCATCATTTGGACTTTCATGAGTTGGCCATGCTAATCTTAAAATAAGAACATAAATAAAATACAACATTATACAAAAGGTAGTACAAAAAATACAATGATCAAAAGTTTGAAAGTGAACACTTGTTGGTAAAATAAACAAGAATTTGTAACAGAAATACCAACATCCCCCGCCTCAGGGAAGTTTTATATGAAGCAAAATATTGTGCTATTTCAAAAGATTGAGGCAGGGATCTAAGGATTTTCAGTCCAAAATTATGATCAATGCTAGATCTGCAAATGCAACAATAAATTTATTAAAGAAATAAAATGAAATACTGAATTTCAAAATGTATCATGTTAAGCTTTGCAGGGATTTTTTTGGCTTATTTTATAGCCGTTATTGGGACATATTCCCAATTGAAAATAGTATATTATTTTCCCAATCCAAAGGAAAATATTCCCAATTGAAAGTTACAAAAATATAAATATTGAATAAAGAATTCTAAAATCTTTGAAAATAAGGGCTTCTTTACTGTAACAGTGTTTAAATGTTTGAAGAAGCCATCCTAGGCAGTGATTGCTTGCATACATTTAATCACTGCAAACTTTCAGTCATGCATTTTTTCCCAATTTTAACAAAATATCGCTGAAATTCCCAGTTGCATGGGTATGGCACTATGGGTTATGTTCCCAAAATCCTGGAAAAAATCCATGCTTTGACCTCTTAGTGTGACCTTGACCTTGGAGGTAGGGGTGCAGGTGTTGTGCATGACATATCATCTTATCATTGTGACTACTTGTGCCAAGTATTTTCCAAATCCCTTCATCTATGAAGAAGTTATGGACGGGGCATAAAATATACCATATAACAGACTTTGTTACCTTTATACCTCTAAGTGTGACCTTGACCTTGGAGGCAGGGGTGCAGGTGTTGTAACTGACATATCGTCTTATTATTGTGACTATTTGTGCCAAGTTATTTTAAAATCCCTTGAACTATGAAGAAGTTCTACATTAGACACAATATATACCCTTTAAAAAAACAATGTTAATTTTTTACCTCGAAATGTGACCCTGACCTTGGAGGTAGGGATGCAGGTGATGCGCATGACACATTGTCTTATTATAGTGAATATTTGTGCCAAGTTTTTTCAAAATCCTTTGATATACAAAAAAGTTATGGACCTGACAAAAAAATACCCTATAACAGGCTATGTTAATCTTAGACCTCCAAGTGTGACCTTGACCTTGTAGGTTGGTGACCGATTGTTGCGCATGACACATCATCTCATTGTTGTGAACAAATGTGCCAAGTATGTACAAAATCCCTTCAAAGATAAGAAAGGTATAGACTGGACACGAGATATACCCTCAAATGGACAATGTTGACCTTGAATGAGCAAGTGTGACCTTGACCCTGAAGGTAGGGGTCTGGTTGTTGCACATCATCGTCTTATTATAACAAACATTTGTGCCAAGTTATTTCAAATTCCTTCAATAAATGACAAAGTTATCGACCGGACACGAAATATACCCTGTAACAGGCTGTGCTAATATTTGACCTCCAAGTGTGACCTTGACCTTGGAGGCAGGTGACCTGTTGTTGAGCATGACACATCTTCTCATTATTGTGAGCAATTGTGGCAAGTATTTACAAAATCCCTTTAGAGATAGGAAAGTTATAGACCGGACACGAGATATACTTTCAAATAGACAATGTTGACCTTGAATGAGCAAGTGCGACCTTGACCCTGGAGGTAGGGGTCTGGTTGTTGACATGACTCATTGTCTTATTATAACAATCATTTGTGCCAAGTTATTTCAAATTCCTTCAATAAAAGCTTGAAGTTGATAAAGATTTGTTCATACATATTTCAACAAGAGGGCCATGTATATATAGGCCCCTGGAGCGGGGCCAGTTTAAACCCCAGGGCTTTTATTTGACCAAACTTGTAAGACACCCGTTAGAAGATGTTTCATGATGTTAAGTTTTTACTACACACATATAATGTAAAACAAAGACCTCTGCACCACCCCCCACCCCGGCATGGCCAATTTTTATACAAGGGCTTAAATTTGAACAAACTTGGTTGACACCATAAGATGTTTCATGCTAAACATCTAGGCTCTAGTTCATTGGGTTTTTTAAAAGAAGATTTTTTAAGTTTTTACTTTACACAAATAGTTAGAAACAATGAAACCCCTGGGGCAGGGCCAGTTTTGACCCCAGGGCTTTTATTTGAACAAACCTTGTACACACTTACCAGAAGATGTTTCATGCTTAATATCTAAACTCTAGCTATTTTGGTTTTTTCAAAGAAGATTTTTAAGTTTTTACTATATGCATATAGGGAAATTCAATGACCCCTGGGGAGGGGCCAATTTTGACCCCCAGGGCTTTTATTTGAACAAACTTGGTAGACACTCACTAGAAGATGTTTCATACCTTTAAAAGAAGATACTTTGTCTAAGCTCTAGCTCTTTGGGTTCTTTAAAAGAAGATACTTTAAGTTTTTTTCTTTTGGTTGCCATGGCAACCAGCGTTCTATGAACAATATTTAGAGGTGACCACCAAAGAAACATTCCTGTGAAGTTTGGATGAAATTGGCTTAGTGGTTTATGAGGAGATGTCATTTTAAGTAAAAGTTTACGGAAGGACGCCAGACGAAAAGCGATCAAAAAAGCTCACCCTGTCACTTTGTGACAGGTGAGCTAAAAATAGTTAAGTGATCTTATTTTCCTGGTGAAAACTGGTGGCTCAATAAAGTTCTATACATATGAGCCGCGCCATGACAAAACCAACATAATGGGTTTGCGACCAGCATTGATCTAGACCAGCCTGCGCATCCACGCAGTCTGATCAGGATCCATGCTGTTTGCTTACAAACTCTATTACAAGTAGAAAAACTGATGGCGAACAGCATGGATCCTGATCAGACTACGCGGAGGCACAGGCGGGTTCGGATCCATGCTGGTCGCAAACCTACTATGTTGGTTTTGTCATGACGCGGCTCATATTATGATATTTCAAATATTGGAAAGTTATCTCTAGTTCTTGGTGAAAGACTGGTGACTAGTTTTCTCTTCAATGTCATTTCTTTTTCTAATTAGATTAAGTCATGGGCTTCATGAGGCTTTCGACATCACATCTAAGAACTCTTTATCCAACATTGCAAAGGGCAGGCAGTCTCCTGGTATTCCAATTTCTTTTAAGTTTTATAAAACCACAATATTTCTATTTCTTTAGTGTTTCCGACATGAAGACACATCTACATGTATCTTTCATTATCACTCCTGCTTTTACTGTTCTATCATATAAGCGCCTCTGTTTCCTGAAATATTTGTTTAGAAAAAGTTAATTGCAAAGTTAAAATTCCACTTGTAAACCCTTGCCGAGCTCGAACTTACAGCAGTGAAAGGCTTAAAGGTTTAAAGTCAAGAAACTAAACCAATCAGTCACAGACACCCCAAGTATTTTATCTATTTGCTAAGCAGCAATTTTTTCAAAATTATTTAAATTCATAAATGTGAGTGATTCTGATAAGCTATAGACAGCTAAGTGATGATAAGATGATCATATATGTCAGATAAGTCGGAGTGCTAACACTGCTTACTGTGAATATTCAATATTTTAATGTGAATTGTCCTGAGGTAAAAAGGAAAAGAAAGCTGAATTCCTAAATACATGTTACATGTCACAATTATTGTTCTTGCTATTAATTTTGTTCCTAATTTCTTGTAAAAGATATTTAAATACACTGTAATTCTTTTTTATAAATTTGGCTTTTTGTGACAATAGTCTATCCAGTGACCGAAGCTCACCGACTTAAAATAAACTGTCCTGTGTCAGCCTTTAAACAAATCAAGAAAAAAAAAGCTATTAGAATATAATAATTAAGAAATATCATATACAAATACTTCTAAATAATCATGTACCTCTTCCTTAAAAGCCCATGCTATTGAAAGAAACATTTTTTCCATTTGTTCACTTCAAGGTTAGTCAGATTTACAGTCTCACATTTTAGCCTTTATCTCTCGTGATTTCATTGTCATTGACCCTAAAGCATCCTTAAAATCGATATCCTGCTGTTCACATTCATAAATCTGACATGTAGGCCGAACTTCTGAAACATAAAATATAATTATTATTAGATATACATATAGTATCCCAATAATTATGTTAGTTGATATCAAATCAATAATTTAAGCAGTGTTCGAAATTAGCAGTAGTCCGAGAGCCCGACTACTAAATTTCTCCTCGGGCTATCAACTTTTCACAGTAACAAGCCCGACCAGGCTAGTGTATTTTCAGAGGCAATATAAACAACTGTTTTGAACAAATGAATCGTGCTAGTGAAATGTCTTTTGGGCAAGTGAATATTCCAATCTAGTAGTCCGACCAGCCTAGTCGATTCAAATCCTAATTTCTTACACTAGCTGTTTAAGAAACAATTTGTTCAAAATTGTCCAAGCATAAAGATTTTTATAGTATACTATAGTAATTATAGTGTATATACAGTATGTATTAAATGTCTTTACTATCTACTATACTGTCCTGAAATTTCAAGAAAACAACTATCTTTAAAATCCATTTTCTCAGAAGTTGCAAAACCAAGTAAATGAAATTGCTCTGGGTTTGTATTATTCTGTACAACTTCTGATCACAAAAGAATCAAGGACATTTATGAGTGAGTCAGGTCCTATCCTGAAAGATTGTTGTTCAAGTTTGAAGACAATCCATTCAAAAATAACAAAGTTATAGCCACTAATAGCAAAAATCAAGAAGATTTAGACATATACCTTGAATGTTAATATGGTGGTCAAGCTAATTTAGTTTAGTCTGGTCTATTTGAAGGGTTGTTGTGGCCAAGTATGAAGACAATACACCAAGATCTGAAAAAAGTTATGAACAAGGTTAAAGTTTGATGACAGCAATGGGAAAGCCGTCATGACTTACAATATATTTAATAATTTTGGCCCTAATGCAAACTGAAAATTCTAGCCTATAAACACTGTTGAGACTAGCTGTTCAGCATTTTTTCAATAATAAATAAATGCAATGATAAAGTCGGTAACTTGCAAGTCTTCTAACATTTTTACAAAGAATGAACATATATATATTTTCTCCTAATCTTAAAGATTATTTATCTTAAAGATAATTTCAAACAATATGTTATTAACTAAACAATCTATATCCTAATATATGGTTTTAATAGAGGGCCGAGTTGACCTGTCCCGAGTTGGTATAGGGCCGAGTTTACCTGTAAATTCAATAATGTAAACAATCCTTGACCTAATTTCGTTTGTCTAACAAATTAACATCTGCAAACACAAAACGATTTCGAACAAAGAAATAAAAGCATTTCCACAAACCTTTGCGATGTTATTCATCAGCAAATCTATGTCTTGGATGGAGAAATCTCAAAAACACGAACGTTATTCTGTCGATGGTCCGAACAATGGCGGGTGTGCCCTACTTATTAGTCAACACCAAGTTTTACCAAATTGCATCCGTTAATTCCAGAATACTTTTGAAAGACTTGTATTGTAATCTTGTTTTTTATTATTTATATAATATATTTTTGTTTCAAACGCTTTGACTCTAAGCTATGATAGTTTGCGAACCATTTTTTGCGAAAATAGTACAGTACAGAACGCCTTTTTAAGGCCACAAAGCCCACATAGTTTCCTCTTGAGTTATCGACGTAAAAAAATCAGCGGTGGCATAAAATGCTATTCAATAAATTGCTAAATATATACAATAAATACTTTCATTTCCCTTCGGTTGACTTATATATGTGAACTTTTCAGCATCTCTGCTACAAAATTACACCTTATTTATATTCAATTTATTGTACATAGGTACATGGACACAAACTTTTCTTTGGCCTAATGCGTAATAATACTGATGTTTTTTTTTCCGTACACGTTTAAGATTATGTTCCATTGATGTAAGCTAACATTGAATATCATCATTTCAAGTTTTTTTGAACATCAGCTTTTTCTTCAAGTCATCCACGTTTGAAAGTATGCATATAGTTCTGCTGCACTACTTTCTTGGTCGCATTAACTACTTATTTTCTATTGAGCTTAAACAGAATTCAATTAGGTGTTGTTCGTTCTTTTTCAATATAGGCAGACCGATAATATAGAAAGGAAATTTTTTTTTGAAAAAATTTCCTTCCAAAAATCATTCAAACATTTTCCCTATACTCCCAGATATAAATGACCAGAACTTTCAATTCATAAAAAACTGGTTAAAACTTTTATCTGGCATGGGATAAATGGGCAGCTGCCTATTGAGAATAAAATCCGGATCACTAAAGAGACACTAATACATAAGCACATATGAATTTGGACGGAATTCTGTACTTTTCTTTTGTCTCACTATAAATCAGTCTCAGATATAAATGTCTAGAATTTTCAATTCATAAAAGATGGTTAAAAACTTTTATCTGGCTTGATCAGTGTCTAATTTAAAATAAGATAGAGACACTAAATATACACATGTGTGTTTGGACTGAATTCTGTACTTTTCTTTTGTCTCACTAGAGCTGGAACTTCGTCCTTGATATAACTCGAACACAATGTAATCTTTATTAATGGTTGGATGACATTTTCGCCGATTGTTTTTATTTTATTTGACATAGTCTTTGTAGTAAATTCATATTTGGACGTACACATTATACAAAACTATTGATGCGAACTTTATACTTTAAGTTAAGCAAGCATCCCTGTAAATTTGGGCTCATATTTCAAAATCTATTTTGCATACAGTCAACATTTACCTGACATTTGCTAAAATTGTACCTGACCACTTGAAGCTAGTTAACCAGGTTAAGGATTGTAAGTGATAATGTTTGGGTATACGTACAGGTTTTCCTATTTCAGGGTACCCGTTTTGCCTTTTCAAGCTGCCACACACAAAGAAAACATTTTATAAAATGTTTAATAGTATCAAATGATAACTTCCCTTTCCTCTTAACCAAATATAATGTTTTGATTGTTATATCTTACACTGTCTGCCGGTACAGACCGGAATATCTAGCTCGAGGAGAACATTTTCTTGCATATCAGACATGATTATGTACCGTTTACACCGGTGCTAGAAAACCCTGTCTTCCACCCCACATGTAAGACAAGTCGCCTGCTTTAAATGACGTCATTGCTGCGTGCTTCTTATGAATGAATTGCATTCTTAGGATGACGTCACTTAACCATTATGAATGAAGTTGTAAGTTCATACGCTACTATAAGAAAAAAGTGCGTAATGAGAATAGCAGTTTTTGTAGTTTCTGTTCTGAAAATAATTGATATGTAATATGCAAGAAAAAGAATCAAACCCCGGCTGTCAGTGCAGACGGGAAATTCTAGCTCTCGGGTAACTTTAAAGCGAAACTCGGCAGAGCCTCGTTACCGCCGTAAACAATCATCCTCGAGCTAGATATTCCGGTCTGTACCGGCAGCCGGTGTAAGATTCATATAAAATATAACATTTCCAGTAAATTACAGCGTCTGGTCTCTTTCAGGAACTAGAAAAGTCGAATCATCATCAGCCGTATGAGACGTTGTATTTTGGGACATAAAAAAACAATTGTGAATTTCTACAAATATTTGTTCATGACTTGTAAATCATTGAACGCAAATTTTTAACCTTTCATTCTCTGTAATCATTGAGTAAGAATAACATAAAAAAGATCAACAAGGAAAGGCGGCGTTCAATGAAGACATACACTTCTGTCATGCGCCGACGCATCATTATAAAAATCAGCTGTTCTTAACAAAAATATTGATAAAATCTGACATCACATTCCAGTAAGGATACGCTTGGTTGGCGGTTTTTTCGACCCGAGAAAACAATGATGACGTCATTATCGATGCATCTCCTTAAAAACTGGCTGCATATTTTCATCTGGAGGTCTATGTCTAACTATTAAAAAATATTTATTTTATGCTTTTCAGTGGATTACTGATTTATCCGTGAAAATTATATTTGATAATTTCACAGTGAAAATTATCAAAATATAATTTCACTTTTTTCAATGACAAAACTACTTTTTTAAGATTTTCCCCATGTGGTACCTCAATTTTATTTTTACTGACAATTCTGACAATATCAGGCTGTTAAAAAAAATAGCAAAGCTGAAATAGATAAATAACTTAAATGTCAAAAGTAATAAAGAGAGAAAACTTACTTCTATTCCTTCAAATTCCAATCACAAAATTTCGTCTCTAAATTTTTTTGTTTCGTTTTTACAGTCTGAAAAATACATTCCTTCCCCATGCTTAACTGCTTTTGATGACATTTGGGCATATTAAAGTATCCTACGAGCAATAACTGCCGTATGCTTTATGGAAAATTGAAAAGCATTGACAGCCATCACTCGTAAAATAAGTAAAATAACCCAGCGTTCCTTACAATGCCTTAGCAAGCTTCCAAGTTTTCCATTTTCCTAGCTCCTTTTCTGAATGTTTTCATTTCTGTCAACACTTATTTTTTGTCTGTTACAATCCTCAAATAAGTTTTCTTTCTTTTAAAAAGGTGTATGACTAACAAGTCCAAATTATATCCTTCTGAATCTTACATAATTATTTTCCTCCCATGAAATATACAACTTTAAAAAATGGCTGCCGCTTACATTTTACAAAGCCAGGTCTAATATAAATTCGCAGTAAGTAACAGAAATATAGATGGATGGTTGGACTTTTTCTCCTACAAGATTTGTTTGTTTTTATTATTAAAACAAGCGATCATTCATATTTTTTTAATAAAATGAATAAATATCACCGTCATTTAACCTTGATTGGCGGACTTATTTCTCAGCTCAAGACTTCTTGTTTTTAATGAGAAATTCCCTCTGAATGGGGCTCTCAATGGGGGAAACAGATTTTAATATTAACGTTAAAATTATGGAAATTTCGTTTTAACTTGTTTTAAAGCATAAAATAAAAAGAAAATTTGTCTGTTTGTTGTGTAAGATGTAATTTTATTTCATCTCGTGAACTTTAAAAACAGTATTCTCACTCGTGGCTACGCCACTCGTGAGAATACTGTTTTTAAAGCCCACTCGATGAAATAAAATTTCATCTTACACACAAACAAACAAATATCCTCTATATATTACATAACCATTTTTAAAATAATACGATTCATTTTTCTTTTTAGATGCATTTATAAATATATTAGGAAAGCAGTGCAAAACTATTTTGTTCTTTAAACAATTTCTTTATTTGTGAAATTTGCATTTGAGAGTCAATTAAAACAACTGTTCAAATATAATTACTAAGTCTTATAAAATTGAAAATAATTAAGATAAACTAATCATAAAGACAACAATCAACTGAATTCAATTTTAAGTTAAAGATGTGATCTACATTATTAATTTAAAAAATGTAGGTCTTTGATATATCCGAGTGGTTCAGGTCTCTTGCTCCTCACCACTGGGTTTTCTTAATGGTCAGAACCTCAGATGGCTTAATACAAACATCATATCGAGTCAGCAATTGAAGGTGTTTTTACACAGGTATCCGCCAGAGAATAAAATAATTATGAAAATAGTTTTGTACTTCTATCAGAAAATCAGGAAGCTATGGTTCATCGGAAAATCTGGAAGTTAAAAATCAATTGGAAAATCTCAAGGTTTAGACTGTAATCAAAGATGTAAACAAATTCTACCTTTTCTCGGTGGTAATATCTTGGAACAGCCAAAACCAATATAACCAGAATTATTGGATACAAATTAGGAACACCTCCCTCTAACATCATCATTAGCAACGCTACAAAAGGTAGATCCAAATCAGGCCGGTCTCTAGTTGAACTTGCTACCAGTACAATGAAAAAAATCAATGCGCTCATTAATAAAAGCATTAGTAAAGATAAAACACTTCCCCAGCAACATATATTTCTTTTCTTCAAGAAGTCGTAGGTCTTCATTACAGGATCACCATTTACTAATTGTACAACATCATGTAAAAGCACTTCAGAAACCTATAATGAGATGTGCAGTTTTGATCAATTGAGAATTAGTGTCAATTCCGAACATGATATTTGTATACATTTTGTAACAATATAAAAGCATATGTCAAAGTTTATTTATCTTTAATGACCATTGATCATTCTAGTTATTAATCTTTATCTGTTTTTTTAATATTTTTTTAAAAAAAAACTTTTGAAAAGTGGGATCCCTCGATAGCATTGGAAACAAAAAGTTGAAAATCTCAGATTCTTGTTATTTTATTTTTTGTGTCAGTGTGTTTTTTGTGTTGTTTGGTTGAGGGTTTTCTTTGTTTTTGAGTGGTTGTTGTTTTGCATTCGTTGTTGTTGTTAATGTCGGTGCGTTTTGCTTTTGGTACAAAATACACCATTGAAATCCAGCATCATACTAGTAATTTAATATCATATATCGCTGAAAGTCCAAATGGTAAAAAGTACAGTGCATTTAAATGTAAACGAATCGATATCGAAGAAAGAAAGAAATGTGAATATTTGACACCTGTCTTCTTCTTACCTTCATTTGACTATTTGTTAGCTCTTTAAGTAAGTCTCTGTTCACACGAAACTTACGCTTTGCAGGTCTGTTTAATCGAAGTTTGTCTTTCTCGACAGGAATTTCAACACTGTACCCATTTTCAACTTAAATATTAGATATAACAATAAAACAATCTATACAGGATATGCAGGATACAGGATTTGTAAAGATATTGTTGTTAAACACATAATTACAACATGCAGGATCTTTAACTATCATTATCAAATAATATTTCTAAAGATATAACATATCAAAATGTACTAATGACATAGAAGAAAAAGTTTTGAAACTGAGGTTGCTGATTTTATAAATTTATAAAGCTCATCCAAGTATCCAAGTAACAGTTGCCTATGATTATTATTACACGTTGATCCATGCCAGGTAATTTTGACTCTTAAATAAAAGCGAGACATATTGAAAAGGGCTTCGGTATGGATATACCAGTTAAATAGACAGTTTCATGTGTTTATATTTCAATAAGTACATGTTGTATTTATTTATATAAGGTTGTATTTATTTATATAAGAAATCAATATTCAAACTTACATCTGGCTATAACGTTTGTGAATTCTAGCGGAAACATGCTCTTATTCAAATCTGAAAATTTAATAAAACCTACTGCATTATAAACAAGATAACATATCAATATGGAAAATTGCAAAAAAAGTTATTTCTGCATCCCCTACGCCCCTTGCACCAAATCAAAGCAGAATTCTATGGGAAGCCTTGACTGTCTTATGATTATAAAAATGAACGTTGTTGTGTTACACTTTCTTTGTACAATTTTCACTTGTGGATGCATCCTTATATGAATTCAACTGAACAATATATGATGTCAATGTGTCTTCATATGATGTCGACCAGTCATTATACGTTGTGCATTTATGAATATATTATGTGGGTAGCATCATTACTTCTCAATATATTATCTCAATCTTTCATGATACGATGTGAATCTATTATTATACGACCGCTGCTTTATATGAAGTACAAACATCATTATATCGTGTGATTTTTGTCATTATACTGATGGGGTTAAATTTACCGGGTTATATCTCACTATGCACCGTTCGTGGCGGAGACTGTCTATATCCCAACGTTAGGAAATCTCAAGACTTGAGGGAATCCCGAACGGTTCTAAACTGCTGACGAATTGTTAAGTTGACTCTATATAAAGACAATTCTGCATAATATAGTTTTTTGACTCTATATAAGAATGGTCCCACATAATAATGTATTATCATTAATGCACATCGTATAAAGAAATATTGACATCATATACGGACACATTTACA